GGGGGTGGGGAGGAGAACAAGCTGTTTAAGAACAAAGAAAAACCTTTTTTTTTTTTTTTTCAACTGTTTTATAAGCAATTCTCATATAGGACCCTCTAAATGCTTAACAAATATTTGTTCATTATGCTTCCAAGCTGTGTTACATTTGGGATAGAAAGGATCACGTCCCCATCCTGGAGAAGGCAGTAACACTTGTGAAAGACCATGTGGCAACATTACACAGCATTTTTGGACCAAAAGCAGGTGAGGATTTTGTATTCCTGTGATTAGTGCTAGTGAGGGGAACTTATAAATTCTGAAATATTAATGTTTTTCAAGAAAGCTGTTGCTGAGACAGGACCAGCAGCAAGCATTTAGCTACAGAATACTAATGAAAGTATCTCTGCATTTCCAGAAGTTGCAGAAAAAAAAAAATCAATTTATTTTATTTGATTTTTTCACTTTGAATTCTCCTCTGTCTCAAAAAAAAAACCACCCCAACAAACCCAAAACCCCACAGTATTTTTTTTTCTCTTTCCATGAGCTGGTCTACTATAAGTCCTGCCAGGAGAAAATGTATTGGAGGCACACACTCAAATTTGAACATGACCCTGGAGTACATGCCTCCCCCCTCCTAGAGCATCCTGGAAGTCTTCCATTCCCAAAGCAGTTACCAGTTTTCATGGTCCCCACAGCAGCCAGCAAGAGCTCAAGCTGCAGAAAGAACAGGTCTTAATTGTTTTGTCTTCTCTACAACTGGCATCTCCTTACACCACCCTGAGCCATCTTTCTATTTGCCCAGAAAAGCTCTCTCCATACCCTGTCTTCTTCCAGCTTTATCATTAAAAAACACACCAGCAGAGAGGAATTCTCCAGCTCAAGGCAGAGCTTGCAAGTGTGTCAGTTCACTCTGAGCAGTGATTTATTATTGCAAAATAAATCAAGTACCTGGCACCTGCCACCTACCCTTAAGACTCCTTTCCTACCAGACAATATTTAAGAGTAAAGAGTTAATCTCATTTATTTCTGACAGTGAGGAATCATACGTTTGACTCCAGTTTTGCAAAGTGAAGTTGCAAAGCTTCAGGGGTTTCCAAGATTTCTTTCCCCTGAGCCACACAGCAGGAGAGATAACATCACATTTGAGATTATGTTCCCTTTTGAGAACCTACATTTCACCTTGATCACACCTCTTTACAGGCCCTGTTCTCTTCTTTCTCCTTGTGGAAAAGGTAAAAATAAAGGTGTTGCTTTTTAATTATAGGTCGATCCTACCTCCTGCTCATTCTTGTTCCCTGAGAAAGGACAAGGTATTACCACTTTACTCACGTGATGACCATGTAAACATTTTAAAGCTTATTAGGCTGCCTAACCTTGCTTTTCCATTTTATACAGGGAAAAACATTATTCTGTGAGATACTGTTGAACTGATACTTGATTTACTGTTTTTCCAAATAAAATGAAATACAGAAAAGATTTCTTAACACAGCTGTGGTATTTCTGACCTAACCCATCCCATCTAAGAGAGAAATCACAAATCCGTGCTGACTACTTCTGGTCATCTTAATGTCCTTCACGTGTCTGGAAATGGTTTCTAGGACTAGTGGCCTTGAAGCAATGGAGCATCCCTTGGTGGGATGGAGCATCACTTCTTGGGGATGAAAGGGAGGCTGATTGGTCTGTAGATCTGTGGCATTTCCTTTTTGCTCTTGAATATGACTATTAAATGGTGGACAAACACTGGAATAGGTTGCCCAGAGGGGCTGTGTGTTCTCAAGCTGTGAAGATACTGAAAACCCAATTGAACATGGTCCTGGGCAACCTGTTCAAGCTGGCTCTGTTTTGACTAGATGATCTGCAGGGGTTGCTTCCAACCTCAGTGATTCTGTGATTCACCTTAAACAACCTTTTTAGTTAGTTGCAGCAGCTCTTAAATATATATCTTACAAAACATTAAGTATAGATGTGCTTCATTAATATTCTATCAACCGTCTTCATTATCATGGAAATGTGATTCAGAAACACAATGAGTTATCACATAAACATGATTCATAAACAGAACTAACTAAATGTGGAAGAATAAGCATTAAAAGCATTCACTGTCCTCTCAGCCATCTTTCTGGGTTTATGACATTTGTCCAGTGCAAGGCTTTTTGTGACCTTTTCACAAAGGAGATT